GTAATTAACAGCCAGTTTATGGTTTTAATGACTTCCGATAACAGAAATATAAGAAAAAAAATGGCAAGTAATATTGAGTATTAAATAAGGCTGCTGAAAGGTAGGGATGATATCTAAGCTTACATCATAATTTACTGAAGACAATACAAAGAAAAATCCAAAAGACACATAGTTAAATAAATTAAGTACATTGAATAAACAGGTATACAAAAAATCATTTTGATAGCAATGTTTAGTAACTTAATCTGTCTATATTTCTGAGATGAGGTATTATGTACACTATTTACATTATTCTGGCTATTGTCCTCATCTTTGTCGTCAAATTTATTACAACATTTCGGCCATTGTATGCTCCAGCCTTCTTCAGGTGGTTGGAATGTTGAACTGAACCCTTTATTTCACTCACTGGGGTAGACTGTTCTAGTTCCACATGCCATGTCTAATGGATGTCAGTTGTCAGTTATCTCCTGTTAATTCCCTCTCCACACACTCTTTGGGTTGTTTCACTGGATGTAACTAATGCCTTTATCAACTGTGCTCTGTGTTAAGGCAATGGAGAACTTGGACACATGGCACAGTGGATAAAGGCGTTAGTTACATCCAGTGACAGTGAGTTCAATAAATGGTTGTGGAGAACTTGGAGTTGTCCTCCTAAATAAGTTGCCTTCCAAGGCTATAGAACCCAGTCTGTCCTGTTATTTACCCATAGCTGGAGGGAGAAGAAGAGGATTCATACCTTCCCAAAGGGTATTAGCATATAAGTGAATGCAATGGGTTCGACTGGAATTCAAACTCAGCTCTCCAATTCCTCAATCCAAGCCACTATCCATTACTCCCCCATGCCTCCTATATATATATATATATATATATATATATATATATATATATATATATATATATATATATTGTGTATATTTAGGCAGAAATTTTTCATTGATGCATGTTTTATACCAACAGCATCCCATACTTAATACTTCTCGTTTTCACTCTCGCGTGGTCATGTGTGACGTCACAAGCTGTCTTGCATACATGAGTTTGTTGTTGCTTTGAAATTTTTCATGCAACAAAAACAGACTATCATTATTGTTTCATCCATGTATTGTTTGATATATTGAAATTTAATTGTCATCATTGATGATGGCATATGTAAGTCGAAAGCTTAGATAGGATTAAAACATGTATCAATATGGTGATTTCCTTTTGTCTTTCAATGATAATGTTATTAAGCTTATCAGACAATATTATGAAAGGAACTTACTTAAAATAAATAGACAAAACTTGTCTATATTATTTAATGAAACATGCATCAATATATATATATATATATATATATATATGGGTATGTGGCCGGAAATTGGTTGATAGATATTATACTCACTGTAGAATTTTAATACTTTAAAGTAAAAAAAAAAAAAGACAGTGCTGAGAAAAATATTCAAACATGATTGTGTGTATAAAATAAATATTTTAAGGTATGCTATATTTATGGGTTAAAGTGCTCAATATCAGGGATAGAGCCTATGTAAATATAAAATTGGACATTTAAGTCAATACCCAGAGTCTGTTTCATGCTAAACACAATCATCTATTTGCAGATGGCCTGACAGTTGTATTTAGCATGAACAGACTGTCACCTCTGGGTGATGACTTCACACACACATACACACACACATATAATCAATGATAATATTTGGTAATCCGTATGGATAATTACAAAGAGGATATAAATCCAGTGAGGGTTCGATGTCACGCTCACTCACTGGAGCTCACACAAATATAAACATATATGAACAGTGTGGGACTGGGCCTATATGCGCATCCATGTGTCGTTGCGTACATACGTATGCAATTGGTTGCTGTATTCAATGTTGAATTGTGTAGCAAACATGTTTTGTCAGTTGTGGTGTCATCACGCAGATTGTTCATCTGTTTTGTTTGCTGAATAATGTCTTCTTACAAACATGGATGTACGTATGCACACACGTTCACACATCTTATAAAGCACTAAAATAAGTGGATACACACAACAACTACAATACACACCTCCACAACCGATACAAAAAAACAGAAGAAGAAACATCATCTGGTTTAATCCACCATACAACAAAACCATCAAAACAAACTTAGGAAGGACATTACTAAACTTAATAGAAAAACACTTCCCTAAAATAAACCGATTAGCAAAAATATTCAACAAAAATAACATTAAAGTCAGTTACAGCTGCACAAAAAATATAACACAAATAATAAAAAGCCACAACAAAAAAGTAACAACCTGCAATAATGCAACCAAGGAACCTCAATGCAACTGCAGAAATAAAACAACATATCCACTCTGCCAACAAACGAATTTAATATATAGATCCAAGATAAGTGCAAACAACAACACAATGTACTACATTGAAGCCACTGAGGGACCATTGAAGAAAAGAACACCGATATACGAAACCATATATACAAAATTTAAAAACTGATCAGTTTATCTGACGGTCACAAATAGCATGAAACCCAGGGCCACAAACTCACACCAATCCAACTAAATATATATGTGTAGTTAAAAAGGACAATGAAAATTCTTTAAGGATTTTTAAAAAACTTTTTTTATATTTTGGAACATTTTCCTAGTTTCTGGTGAAAGTTTAAAAAGAAATTGTCTGATGTCTGAGTACTTTTTGCTTTCATAAGTCATTATCAAAGAGTTTTTTTTATTCTATATCAGTTAATGCTTATATCAAAATTGTGTACTTTCAGCTTTCATAAGCCATTATCAACGAGGTTTTGTTTTTCATTCTAAGTCTTCATGCTTGACGTCAATTTTTAAAATATCACAGCTTCACATGATGTTTTGTGTTGCTGTGTCCTTTATATATTAAATATATTTTTATGTTTGTTCCTAAATTTAATAACATTTTATTCATGCTGGGTTTGTTTTTGTATGGCTAATGCTTCTAGTAATTACATGATTGGGACACCCACATAGATGGCTATGGTATGTGATTTTATTTCTGTCTGTTGAAATGTGATTTTTCTGTAGTGTTGCATATTTTATGACTAGCAATAAAATCTGTGAGATGGTGGGGTGGTTCAAAAGCAGCCACCCACTTGACCAAAAGACATAGATAAATGAATGAAAACTTTTGGTAGCAAGTGACAACAAACTGAACATTGCAGACTTTTGTTGCAGGCTTATTTTTAACAGTCACATTTGGCAATGAAGTAGTACTAGGCTGTCCATTACTGGGAGAAGGCTATCAAGGTAGTTCCAATGCTAACCCTTAGAGCTGCCACCAATGTGTCATGATGAGAGATGAGCCAAGAGTTGGTATGAGAAATAGTTCATGATGGTTAATCTGAAGTAGTAGAACTTATCCCCAAGTGCTACCTATATACAAACCCTGACAGCAACAAGAGAATAACTGAAATAAACAACAAATTTTTATTGGAAACAGAATTTGAGTTTTCATTTCTGTTGTAGCATACCTACGGACGATGCTCCCATTCACATAAATACAGTAGTAAATACTGTATGTTGGTCTGCAGTTGGAGAATCATCTCCAGCTGTGCTGGTCAAACTCTCTGCCTCTGGGCAAAGAGGACCCCCAGATGAGGCGACATTGAAGGACAGTCTCATCTTGGGAAACATGTACCTGACCACATTTTATATGGGGAATTTTTGGCCAAACCTACGGGTTCAGATACCCCATATTAAATTCGGCTTTGTGTCACATCTGACCATGTGGGGCAGTTGGTAGATATCCTGCAGTTGGAGATTCATTGTGGAATTCTCTTGACTATATATATATATATATATATACAGAGAACTATATATATATATATATATATGAAATATATATATATATATATATATATATATAATATATATATATATATATATATATATATATATGTGTGTGTGTGTGTGTGTGTGTGTGTAAGATGCGAGACATATCACAACATAGCCAAACATTTCAATTTAACTTTTGAAACTCATACAACAGTGAAACTGGTTAAGTTACTGTAAATAAATATTCTTAAGAACCCGTGCACTTGCACTTTTAACTTCTTTTTATACATGTGTGTTTGTATATATTTGCCTTTACATATACACATATATATATATATATATATATATATATGTGTGTGTGTGTGTGTGTATGTATGTACGTAGAAATACATGTATCTATAAGCACATATATGTGAGTAATCATGGCTTACGACCGGATCATGTTGAAACACCGATTCTCATACAATCACCAAAGTTAAGCAATGATGGATGGGTGATTGCTTGGGAATACTAGGAACTGTAAGTGTGGATGTGTGGATGGTGTAATGGATAATAGTTTGGAATTGAAAATTGGAAAGCCAAGTTCCAATTCCAGTTGGGTTTGTTACATTCACTTATGTACAAATATCCTTGGGAAAGGTATGAATTTATTTCTTCTTGCTCCAGCTATGGATTAATTAGTACAATTTGTATCAATAAATTGTTATTATCACCAAAAACATTCTTACAATCTATAAAAATATTTTCTGGCTTTAAATAACCTGAGAAAGGTTGTTAAGCCATAAAAACAAATCAAACAATCTTTATCTTGTTTTATTTTTGCCCCATAAGGAGAAAATATCTGACATTTTCAATTTTTCTCTGTATTTAACAATTTCCTCTTGTCTTTTAGCTCAATGGCATTTTAGAATGCAATATCTTTGACATGGCAAAAATCAATGTAGACATTATTTACCATATTCACAGAAGTGGAACCATTCAACATTGCAGGCAAATCTGACAGAAATCAATTGTTATTTATGAGTAGAATAAATAAGTTAGCCAAAAAGAGAAAAATAAGTAGTTTAGTTTGATATTGATATATGCATAGTACCCATCAAAAATGACAGTTGTTTACATATGGATCAGCACTTCTGTTAAAGATCAGAGAATCTCAGTACTCTTCCTCAGATCAAATTGTCACTCATGGGTCCTTCTATATTGATAGCTGGAGGGCTTACGGTCACATCACATTGAAACATATGTATCTGTATGATTACCAAAGTTAAACAATATTGAGCCTGGTCAGTACCTAGATGGGTGACCGCTTGGGAATACCAGGTGCTGTAAAATTGGATGTGTGGCTGGTATGGCTTATGGCCACATCGCATTGAAACACCGGTTCCTGTATCATCACCAAAGTTAAGCAACATTGAGTCTAGTCAGTAGCTAGATGGGTGATGTAGAGGGGCCGTGGCTGTTATGTTGTTGATAGAAGTCAGATGTAGAAGAAACGCATGTAAGGTTCAGATACTCCTGCTCGCCGAGCCCAACTACATAAAAAGGTTGGACTTTGATTAAGTCCAAAGAAGAAGGCAAAGAAAGCAAACAAAACACAAGACCGATAATATATGTATATACAAATATATATTAATAACAAGTTACAATACATGGAAACAGTACAAAGGATGAAGTGTATCGGAATATTCTGTATGTGCGTGTGTGAATATTCTGTATGTGCGTGTGTGTTGTGCTTAGCGTGTTTCCACGCTTATCCCTTGTTAGCGCCTACATTTCGAGGTTGTAAGCTGAAAGCCTGATGAAAAGGGGAGATTTACCTCAAGGTGTCGGCGCACAGGCCTGAAGGAAAAAGAGATAGAGGTGAAGGGTCCGCGGCTATTTATAGTAGCGAAGAGCGACCCCTGGTGAAAGGGTTAATGTACTAAAGGAGGAGTTAACTCCGACAGTGATCACTTGGGAATACCAGATGCTGCAAGCTTGGATGTGTAGGTTTTATGGCTTATGACCACATCCTGTAGAAACACCAGTACCCATATGATCACCCAAGTTAAGCAACATCGAATTTGGTCAGTACCTAAATGGGTGAACATTTGGGGATACCAGCTGTTGTAAGCTTGGATGTGCAGGTGGTGTAATGGATAATGGCTAAGATTTGGAAATTGGAAAGCTGAGTTCCAATTGACGTTGAGATCATTATATTTACTTATGTGCAAATACATTTGGGAAAGCTATAAATCCATTTCTTCTACCCCCAGCTATGGGTTAATTTGGTAAACTTATATCACTGAACCATCATTGTCGCCAAGAGAGGAATAATTCTTAAAATCTAAAAGATTTTTTTCTTGTTTTGAATAGTCTGCAATGGGTTTACAATCCATAAAAAAAAATCAATCAATCAACTTGTCATTAAATATATACAGGAAATAAACTTTGGAGGTAATGGTCTGTCAAAAAGGAAAATACTTTTGATACACTCAGAGAAAGTACCATATTTTCTGGACATTTGGATGTGGATTTAAAAAAAAAAAAATGCACCCAAAAATTACCCTATAACAGAAATACATAATGTATGAAAGGGACACAAAAAAGTAAGGTTCACCAGGAATCAGTGCCACGCATAGAGCATAGCTCTGAAACTAGGACTCCTGGAAATGAACAAACATGATATCAATAAAACATATCCCTGAAAAAATTCACTCAGGAAAAAGAAATTTATGGAATTGCACAATATTTTGCTTCTTGGTTTGTGCATGTTTTTGTTGATATACAGGTATTCGAATTTGCTCTTCTGCATGTATTGTATGGGACTTCATTTACCAACAAGTACCATATTTCTGGGGGGGGTTGCCTATTACCATATGTACCAGTGTTCACTGATACCAGTAGATTTCTTAGTAGTTATGAATTTACTGAATGTGCAGACGTTGCTCCCTGAAAAACAACTAAAACAATTTTCAATAAATGTATAATAAAACGTACTAAAATAATTCTTCAAAAAATGTCCTGTTAATTAAACCTTACCTCACTTCTATTAAGAAAAAAGTACTAGTTGTATAATTTATACTAATACTGTTAATGTTTCTTCATGGTTAGTGAGAATATCACATAATAGTAAGGTTATAATTTTTATTTTTTTGGTTGTGATGTGTACATTTTTTTCCTGAATATTCCATGCCAAAATCTGTCCAATGTGTGGGTGCATCCAATAATAGGTCAGTAAATATGATAATTTATTAATTAAAAAAAAGAGCACTAATTTGTGAGTCTTCCACAGATAAATTTATGTCCAGAATCATAGAACATATTGCCTAAGAAAACAGAAGGAAGTCAGCTGGGTTTCTCATCTATATATATATATATATATATATATATATTGAATGCCAAAAATTTAAATTTAAGTGTCCCTGTATCTTAAGCATTTCTGAATGTAGAATTGTAACCAGCATTTGTTGTATTTAATTCCCTCTCGCTTCCATCGATAAAACATGATTAGTCTGAAGTCGTTCTTTAGAAGGACAAAACGTGTAAAATGGACTTCTTTTTTTTTTCATTTTGACATTCAATTACCAAGTTTTCTTGTCCCTTCAGGACATGGGTGAACATGGCTCTCCATAGGTTCCTATCCTTTGAATAAAATCAGCTAGGTTATGCATCTACATATATTGAATGCCAAAGATTTAAAGCTAAGTCTCTTTGTATCTTCAGTATTTCTTGATGTATAATTGTAACCAGTGTTTTTGCATTTTGTTCTCTCCTCCTCCTCCTCTATATATAAGATACCATCTATAAAAAAAATTAAAGCATGTAACATAGGATTTTTTCCATGTTATTCTTTTTACCAAATATAAGTCCGATATACCAAGCTATATACTATATTATCAACCCCCAATATATAATCATAATATTAATAACATATTGGAGCCATAGATAGTCTTTAAATGTGTATATGATTTAAACTTTGAAGTAAAAGTTTGTAAAAAATGAAAATACTTTTCATACACTCTGATATATGATAATAATAATTATAAATACCTGTGAAAATTTTCTGTGGAATTATAATTCTTAAGTTAATTATTGACTAACAGTAATTGTAATATTAGCTGTTTCCTTATAAGGAGACATTCTGCATTTATTGACAGTGCAGCCAGTACAACTGTTGTTTGAAATTTATAAAATCTTTCTCTTCAGACAATTTTTCAGGAAAACACGTTTCTCAAGTCCAGTAGCTTTTATTGCTCTTTCCACTATTAAAGGCGTTTCCTTCCTAACCTTTTACTTGAAGTAGTGTGGAACATCAGCATGTTGATTATGTTGTTATTTTCTCTTTGAGTTTTTTTTTTTAATTGATATCACTCTGTGCACAAGGGTTAGAAGGTGTGTAAGAATTAACAACAGAAACATTAATAATGAGCAGGAAGAGTAATCATGAAGACAGTAGATAGCAATTGACATTGCATTTAAATATTTGCAGATTGAAGTTGCATCTGATATCTATTTTAGTAGATGCTGGAAGTCCTCAAGTGATGTAGTTTCTGTTATTTGGTAATGTTCTTTAATTGTGATTCTGCAGCGTCAGTTCACAATGTTTGAAGAAGGATGGTTTTACCAAGACTCACAGACTTCACTTGCTCAAAGCCATTTTAAACCATTGATCTTAGAAAGTGGTTGTATACAGCTGAGAGTCGAGATATTTCTGAATGGGTTTGGCATCATGCATGGAAACCATATGAAAGTCTTGATCGGACAAGACTATTGAAGAAGATGACCCAAGGCGAAGAATGAAAATTCTCAATTCTAAACCAAGTTGAAGAGTGAGTGTGCACCATTAGATTACCTCTTCCCCACCAACCCCAGCATTGATTTAAATAGCAAGGCTGACTGAACTCACTTGTTTTGAAATGTCAACCTGTCCAAGAGAAGGAAAACTCTGAATTTTAAGCCAACCCGAAAAGGGATAGTCTGTGTCTGGGAATCCTACCCTAAACATACCGACTGCTTCAATATATGTCATGCCTCTATGACCTAAACTGATTACTGGACTTGTGATATGATGAAACTATATAAATAGTTGAAGAACGCATTAGCTCAAGTAGAGTAATCAAAACAATAAAGATACTCATTTTAATAAGTCATAAAATAATGGTAATGTTTAATCTCAGAAATGCCAACAACTTAGGAAAAACTAAGGAACACATCAGCTGAAAAATATGTTGTAAACAACTTTTTGACTGATGCATTCTCTTGCCATGAATCTGTTTATTGCATCTGGTAATCATTATATTTAATTTACCAATTTTTTTCTTATCCCCCCCCCCCAACTTTCAACACCATTCTAATCTGAACAATTCAAGAATCTGTATGCAAGGATTCACATTGCATTTCACACTGCTCCACTTGTAGTGATGACAAGAGTTTGACCTTGTGTCACATGTTGCCCCAGTGGGGGGGAGACTCAATATCGTGATGACAAAAGTTAGAAACAAAGAAAATACTGTGCAGCAGATTCAAGCATTATCTCATTTGACATATGCTTAAAGAAGAAGACCAGAGAACATGTCAGCCAACAGAAGGATACAATTTTGTAATCTATCCAAGAAAGGCAATTCCTCATTTCCTCACTGCAGACAAAACCCGACTCAATGCAATGTAATACCTACATAAACTTTTCATTTTAATTTCTGACAAAACCTTAATTACCCAATTAATGCTTTATTGAAGTGATTATGCATAGCTTTTATAGACTTGTTTAAATTTTTTCTATTATTTCTGTGATTATCTTATATATTAGGGGTGGCCAAACTGTGGCTCACAAGCCACATGCAGCTCTTTGACCTTTAATATGTGGCTCATGGAAATATGTTTCTTTTTAATTATGGTTATTATAAAAGGTAAATAAGAAAAATTTCAAGCTTTATAATTATTTACTGGGTATGAATTGAGACAGTTGAAATTTCTAGGGCACATAATGAAGAAAGAGGGCTTAGAAAATTTGACACTCACAGGACATATTGAAAGCAAGAGGGACAGAGGAAAGCAGTGTATAACCTACCTAATGAATTTGAAGGGTTGATACAAAGGTCTCATGCTCCCCACCCTAATTTGTGATACCTCCCATGAATCTATGACACGCAGCCATTCTACTACATCTCAATTTTCATAAGGTAATATTCATATAAAATATAAGTTTTATTGTAACCTAATTATGTACAATAATGGGTCAAAATTAGGTATTTCTGTACATTTTTCAGATGATATTTAAAACTAAATGCTCAAAAATTGGTAGAAGCTATGAATCTAATTTTTGGTGACAGTACTTATTATATCAAAC